GGCTCAGCAGGTGGGTGAGGGGAGCACGGCTCAGCAGGTGGGCGAAGGGAGCACAGCTCAGCAGGTGGGTGAGGGGAGCACGGCCCAGCAGGTGGGCGAGGGGAGCACGGCCCAGCAGGTGGGTGAGGGGAGCATGGCTCAGCAGGTGGGTGAGGGGAGCACGGCCCAGCAGGTGGGTGAGGGGAGCGTGGCTCAGCAGGTGGGTTGGTCCTGCTGCTTACAGCTGTGCCCCTGGGAAAGCCATCTCCCTTCTCTGACCCTGTTTCCCTGTCTGTAAGGGGGTGACGTGAGTGCTGCACAGATGAGCTGAGGCACGTGAGCACACACGGTGTGCCGTGGGGCTCAGTGCAACCATCCCAGAGGCTCAGATAACACCCTCCCAGACCCCTGCCCCACTGGAGGTGTCCTGCTGGGTGCTCAGAGGCATGTGCTTCCTCCTGCCTCCAGATGATGCAATTATGTGTCCAGAGGTCTTCGCTCTTGAGGGAGGTGGGTGGGGGCCGGACCCATCCTTTGTCCAGCCTGGCCAGCTGGTGGAGGAGGGGTGCAAGGGAGGCTCTGAGCCTCACTCAGGCGCGGTGAGGCCAGGGATTGGCTATAGCTGAAGGTAGGGTTCAAGTTCAGAGCGGGGCCCTGGGGAGGGGTGCAGGGAAGGCCTGGGTGGTGAGGGGCGCTATAAAGAGGGCTCCTCACGGCGGAGGCTGGGGGCGGGGGCTGTGGCTGTGCAGGGGCCTGGGCCGTACGTAGGAGCTGTACTCACAGACTCCGCTGGGCAAACATCTTGCAGGGTGTCCAGGGCCGCCAGTGCCAATGGATGCTGAGGGGCAGGGGCACCCCATAGGCCGTGCAGGTGAGGGCCTGGCGGCTGTGGCGCGAGTAGATGCTGGGGGAGGAGGCCTCCTTCTCGTGTATGTGGGGGGGCACTGGGGGCACAGCAGATGGCCGGTCAGCTGACTTCCAATGCCACGCCGCCCACCGCCCACCTGTGTGCTCTCCCATCCCTGGCCTACCATTCACCACCAGCTCCAGGCTGATGTTGCGTCTGAGGCCAGCAGCGGAGTTCCACAAGGCGAGGGTGTAGATGCCGGTACTGGCCTCTGTCACCTCCTTGAGCACTAGGGCATGTGGACTGTGGCGCCCGGACAGTGCCTTTCCATCCTTGTACCTGGCCGGGGAAGGGAGGTCAGGGTCCGTACAGATCCCACCTCAGCCCCAACCTCATCCTGGCACCCCCAGCCCCCGACCCCAAATACATGGTCAGGAGGAGGGAGGGGCTGGCAGGAGTGCAGGGAAGGGCGGGAGACACTGGTCTGCGAGGGGAAGGCCTAAGTCCCTGGAGATATCTCCAGGCCGCATCTCCCAGGTGTGACAACCGTGTCAGGCGGCCGCCTCGGGGCATCGGTCACTGAGGTCTGCAGTAGCATCCCCTGCCTTGCCCCAAAGGCTCTGTGATCTCTCCACAAGTAGCGAGATGACCATGTCCCTGCTGGGGCAGCGCCTTCGCTCTCCCTACCTGTGGCTGCAGACAGCCTTCTTCGGCCAGGCTTGCCCAGCCCAGCCCAGGAGGATCCCACACACCTGGCTCCTCCACCCAGCTCGTCTGTGTGTTTGCTAGACCATCCACCTAGTCACTGCTCGCCATCGACATGTGATGGTGCCATAGGAAGGGTGGGCGCCACAGGAAGGGTGGGTGGGCGCCCAGATGTGGCAGGCCTGGAGACCCTGTCCTCTTTCTTACCGACATCTGAAGGAGTGAGGTGCAGTCCCTGTGAGCGGTCTAGCTCCTTGCCATGTGTGTGGCCCTTCCAGACACGTGGCCTTCTTGCTGTCCACCCCCCACCCCAAGGCCTGTCTATCACTGCCCGCCTCGCTGGGACGCTCATTTCCGTAGCCAGGAATCTGCAGGGCTCCCTGCCTCCTTCATTTGGGTGGGGGTGTGTAGCCTGCCTGCCTATCCTATGCTGTGGCCTGCCCCTGCTTTGCTGTGTCTATTGACTGCCCATCTTCCCCCTGGGTTGGGAGCCCCACGAGGGCAGGGCTGCCTCCTGTAGAGTTGCGCCCAGCTCCCTACATGTCTGTTGCACACGTGAGGAAGCAGATGTCTCAGCCCCAGAGGGTGTGCTGGGGCCCCTGCAGGAACCTGTCTCTGTGTCCTGGACTCTGTATGGAGACACTCCTCCTTTGGACAGGTGCCTGCCCCAGTGCTGAGTGTGGTAGACCAGAGACACACCACAGTGTGGCCCGGGAGAGGCATAGCCCTTGGGCAGAGACCAAGAGAGAAGGGGATGCAGGGACCTGTTCTCAACTGGGACACCACAGCAGGGACCCAGAGGGGAGCTGCCTGGCCTGGGGTCACAGAGTGAGGCAGGCCCGGGCCGGGGCGGAACTGAGGTGGTGCTGTCTGCGTGGCTCTGGTCCCGAGTGTGCCACTTGCCGGATCTGAGACCCTTTCATTGCCTCAGCGGAGGAGATGACATGCACCTTGCAACTGTCGTGAGGTTTAACTCAGACAGTGCCAGCAGCGTGCTGGACACACTATGGGTGCTTCGGAAGCCAAGGACCAGTCTGTCTGTGTGTTTGCCAGACCATCCACCCAGTCACTGCTCGCCATCGTCACGTGATGGTGCCATAGGAAGGATGGGCACCACAGGAAGGCTGGGTGGGTGCCATAGGAAGAGGACCAGATGTGGCAGGAGCGATCCTGGAAAGCTGTTCTGACAGGCAGCTGCCTGAGGATTGGGTAGACCCTGGATGCAACAGAGCTGCCACCTGCCCAGAGCAGGCTCAGTCCTGCTGGCCTTGGAGGGTGGGGGACAGGGCCCAGGAGTCTCCAGGAGCTGCACCTGTGAGTGAGGCTCCAGGATCTGCCAGTGCCCTCAGGATTCTGCCCCAAGGGCCTTGGCACTGACCGGGTGCCTTGGACAGACACTGAAGTCTGTGTCCTCAGTGGGAGGGTCACACTGGGCTCAGGGCCAGGACACCCTGGGCCTTCCTAGGAGAGACCAGCCCCCAGCCAGTGCAGGGGGCCCTGGCTGAGGAAACCCTGGGCCTCTGCTTGCCCAGCTCCAGGAAGAGTGGCCCTGCCAGGAGGGAGGTGCCCAGGCTGAAAAGGAGGAGGCTGCTGGGCTAGCTCAGAGCAGAGACCCCTCCTGGAAACTTGGGGGTCAATTACGAATAACCTTTCCTGGCCTCTGCTTCCTCATCCATGCAATGGGGACTCAAAGTGTGACTGACCATGGGTGAGCCATGTGGATTACTCAGACGGCCTGCGGATGTGTTTGTGAGGAGTGCCATGCCCCCCGACAGCCTGCAGGGAGCAGCCAGCAGAGGCAGAGCCACCCCTGAGGCATCCCTTCCCTGGGCCTCGGCACACTGCAGGGTAACCTCATTCAGCCTGCAGATCGGGGGTCTGCGGGGACTCCAGCAGCCTGCCGGCCTCCTGGAAGCTCTCTTGCTCACTGCCACACAGCACAGGCCCAGCCCAGGCAATGTGTCAGTTCCCTGTGGCATCTCCACATTTCTGGACAGGAGGGTCCTGGGAGAGGCAGCCTCGTTAGAAGGAGGCATAGGGAACGAACGCTAAGCCACTGCTTCAGGGCAGGCCCTGGAGACTCTGCAGGGCAGAGAGGCAGTCAGCCGTCAGGAGGCAGTTAGGAAAAGCCCCTCGATGTGCCCACCACACCCACATGGAACAGAAGGCTGGTACTGAAACCCTTCCCGGTGTGGCAGGAGCACAGATAGACCTTCCATCTGGAATACCACATTACGGGCAGGCTCCTTGGGGCGTCTCCTGAGAGAGGCTCCTGCCATGCCTGGTCTCAGCGTGCAGGTCCTGATGGCGAGGATGCTGCCCTTCCTCCCCCGTGGTCTGTTTTGCCCCTCAGCTTGGAAGGGTAGCGGCGGGGTCAGGGGAGCCAGGGCTGTTACCATTGGAACTCGGGCGGAGGGTATGCTGCCAGCTTCACGGGCAGCTTCACCAGCTCGTCTCCTGCCGTGGCCTCCAGGATGGGGCCTTTGAGCCACTCGACGCTGATGAAGGGCTTTTCTGCCAGACAGGAGAAGTCAGTGTAAATCCAGGACTGACCCGTGGTTGACTGACCAGGGATTCCCCCCATGGCCCCTGCAGCCCCAGCAGCCAGACACCTGTAGACTGGGGCTGGCCATGCAGGAGCTGGGC